TGTATATTTAGATTTGATGGTTTTGGCCATTGATCATTTTTTTTTTTTTGTAATTGTTACAAAGTTTAGATTATATCCTCAATTTTCTCCTATTTTAATGTATTTGACCTGTAAAAGCTAAAAACACTTATAGCGGGAATGTTCCCATATTACCCTCCGTCCAAATGTATTTTAGTATAATTCTAATTAGTGTTGCTTTCTATATTTCAGTTATAATATTTTATCTATAAAAAGTTATAGCTTTGTTGGAATGTTAACTAAGAATATAAAATTAACATCTAACATAATAGTTTAAAATTTTTCTTTGAAATATATATTTTTTTCTTCCCTTGGTCTCTTATAAAGATATCAGAGTTTGATTTTGATTTTGGCATTTGATCAAGTCTAAGAGCCTTTGCCATTTTATAGAATCATTTAGCTCATTTATGTTTAGTTATATAACATAAGATGCTATAGTCTTGCAATATGTTTTTACATGCTTGTGTCATGATTATGTCTTTCATAAGCCATCTTTCAGTATATGGACGTTTTGTATGCTTATTTTGTCTAGTGTAAACTTTCCATTCTATTTTTAACTCTAGTTAGTTGTTACCAGCCATTCTATGGATGTATTTTCTAAGTATTATTGTCTAGAAAAATTTAGTAGCTCTTGATTCCTCTTTGTATAAGATCAGGCAATTTCCATGCCTTTAGTTCCATCATCATCTCTATCTCATCTTATTTTTCTGACTTTAAAGCATAATTTCAGCAATACTATATTAACAGCTAGTTTTTGTCATGTATTTTTTAATAATCAGTTTTGACATTTGCATTCCATTTTGTAACAATATATACAACAATCTTTTACAATTCTGTTTTAAATATATTTTACCAGTAAACCAAATTTGCTCATATTTTAGTTAATGAAAGTTTAAAATTATCTTTAAGGAAGCTAATTTTTGTTTCTGAGTAATTTAAAAAATTATCAATAAAGTGTTATGTATGCAAAGAGTCAAAAAATATTTCAATTGCCTTCACAAATTATTGGCAATTTAGCTGTATGTAGAATTCCTAGAACAAATGTATCCTGTCAAAATTCTTCTGTTATTCCTCTTATATTTTCTAGAGAAGCTTCAGGCTAGCCTCATTTTAGACTTGTATTTCTTATAGCGTTGTTTTAAGTCATTTCTATTCTCTATTTAATATTTTAAACTCAAATATTCACTGAGTACAGGTCTAGGAGTTGGCCACATTAACTTGGTAAATGCTTTTGATCTGCATCCTAGGTTCATTTCCCAGCTCAGTACAGGTTGTTTTTATTGGTTTGTTTGCTTCTTTTGTATGCTTGCATTTTGTTTACAACTTTGATTTGTAAATACTATTTATCACTTGACCCCTGTTGTATTTTTCACAATATCAACAAGCATTCTTATTAAACAAACAAAAATCTGTATACCTTTCTCTGTTTAGCTTAGACCTTCCTAGTTTTACTTCCATATCACTAATTCTGTGTGCATGTGTGTGTGTGTGTATGTATGTGTGTGTGTGATTTTCAGTTCTAATACTATGGCTTCTTAGATTAAAAGTTGGCCATTGCAATTGCAGTTATCTTTTAACTATTTCTTTTTAAAATATGAGACACAATTAACATACCATGCAACTCATCCATTTAAAGTGTATGATTCGGTGGGTTTTTGTTTTTTTTTTTATAGCGTATTCACAGGCACATACAGCTATCATCACAGTCAATTTTGGAACATTTTCATGGCATCAAAAAGAAACTTTGTATTTTAGTTATACTCCCCTCCCCGACAACTCTACCCACCACCCCACCAGCCCTAAGCCACCACTAATCTAACTCTTATTACAAACTGCCTAGCTGTTTTCCAAGTGACTTCACCACTACATTTCCACCAGCAGTGTGTGAGTTCCAGTTTCTCCTTATTCTCAGCAATTCTTATTATCATCTGTCTTTTTTATTACAGCTATTATAGTAGGTGTAAAATGATTTCTCATTGTTGTTTTGATTTGCATTTCTCTGATGACTAGTGCTGTTGAACCTCTTTGCATAAGTTTATTAAACATTTTTATATCTTTTTAGAGAAATGTTTAAGTCATTTGCTCATTTAAAATTTGGGTTATCCTTTTTTGTTGAATTTTAAAAGGCTTTTTAATACTGAATACTAGACCCTTGTCAGATATATAATTTTCAAACATGTTCTCTCATTTTGTAGGATTTTTTTTTCACTTTTTGGATAGTGTCCTTCAAAGCACAAACATTTTTAGAATTTTTGTGAAGTTCAATATTTTTGTTCTTTTTGTAGTTTATGCTTTTTGTGTCATGTCTAACAAACTATTGCCAAATCAAAGTTTATAAAGATTTACTCCTATATTTTTTTCTAAGCATTTTTCAATTTTAGCTTTTACATTTAGGTCTTTGACTTCCTTTGAGTTAATTTTTGCATATGGTATGAGGTATAGGTCCCACTTTATTCTTCTGCATGTGGATACCCAGTTATTGCTATGCCATTTGTTTAAGAGACTATATTATTTCTCCATTGAATGGTCTTGGCACCCTCACTGAAAATTAATTGACCATAACTGAATGAGTTTATTTCTGGATTTTTAATTCTTTTCCATTGGTCTATATGTCTATGCTATTGCCATGACTATCTATGTTGATTACTGTAGTCTTATAGTATGTTTTGAAACCAGGAAATTTGAAACTTCCATCTTTGTCTTTCTTTTAAAGACTGTAAGATTCCTTTGGCTATTTTGAGTCTGTTGCAATTTTAGAGTCAATTTTCCATTTTTACCAAAAAATGGACTTTGTGATTTTGATAGGTATTACACAAAATCTGAAAATTGGGGTCGTATTTCATCTTAACAAATCAAGTCTTCCAATCCATGAACGTGGGATGTCTTTCCACTTATTTAGGTCTTCTTTAATTTCTTTCAGTAATGTTTTGTAGTTTTCAGTATGCCAGTCTTATTCCTCCTTGGGTATATTTATTTCTAAGTATTTTATTCATTATTTTTCTGAGACAAAATCTCACCCTGTCACCCAGGCTTGGGTGCAGTGGCGTGATCTCGGCTCACTGCCACCTCTGCCGCCCAGGTTCAATCAATTCTTCTGTCCCAGTCTCCTGAGGATCTGGAATTGTAGGTGCCCCCCACCATGCCCAGCTAATTTTTGTATTTTTAGTAGAGACTAGGTTTCACCATGTTGGCCAGCCTGGTCCCAAACTCCTGACCTCAAGTGATCCACCCACCTTGGCCTCCCAAAGTTCTGGGATTTCAGGTGTGTACCACCACACTTGGCTGACTTCCTATTTTCTACCACATTAAGTTTAAAATCCCTTGCTTGACTTTTAAAACCGAGTTCCTTGTCCCTCAAAAAAAAAAAATTAAAAATTCAAAGGAAGGTTGGGAATGGGGCTAACTGTTCCTCTCACTGGCAAAGGCCTCATGTCTCTGATATAAGGCCAAAGTGTTTATCAGTGCTTCCTGTGCACTAAATATGTTTCTAAGTGCTTCACAGGTAGGGAATAGAGCCCCACAGCACTGTATTATTACATTTTACAGATCATGAAATGGAGGCACAAAAATGTTAAACAACTCTCCAAGGTCACACAGCTTCTCAGAGGTGAAGTCAGCATTAAACCCTTAGCCCAACTCTGGGTACCTGGATCACGTAACCTCTCCAGCAATCTAACCTAGTTTAAGTATCCTTTTTCTGCTTCTGTGAATATTGCCTCAAGGCAAATATTCACTCTGAACGTAAATTTCCCTTAGAGTCTGGCAGGCTATGGACAACATTCTTAGTTTCTTTTGTGGTTGGAATTTTGTATCCCATTAGGTGTTTTTGTAAGTATTTAAATGAGGAATGTGAATTCAATAACTATCTTCTTAATTCAGAAGTCCTCATGGAATTCTTTGAATATAAATTTGGTCTTAATGACCCATGCTTATTTTACAGATGAGAAAAATCAAAGTTCTATGTCTCCAAGATACAGAACTAGTTAGGAAAGCTGGGATGAGAACTTGAGCTCACCCTTACTTGGCTTGTTCCCTATTGTGCCTTGCCAGGTAAACTCTCTAAAGAAGCTACTGTTCCTTACCTCTTTCCAAAGTACATCTTCAAAAGCCTCAGGCAAACTTTGATTTGAATTTTTTAACCTGCTTGATTTCTACTTACATAGGAAAATAGAATGCACCCCCTTACCTAAGAATTTCTCAAATTAGGCTGGTGACAAATGCCTTTTAAAACTCCTTTATTTGGCATCCTATTAATATTTTTTTAAACTCCCATTGTTTTGTTCCTGACAGATCTGTTATGTTTCAGATGTGACACAAATGTACACTTAGAGGAAAAGTTCTTTAATAAGTGACATTTGCCTCGGACTACTGAGGTTATTTTAGAAAACAAAAGCCAAAGGACACTTACCAGGACATTCACCTTGTCATAAATTTATCTGGCATATTTAATTGATTGAGAATTCTGGGTTAGACAGTTATCAACGTGTGCGATGAATCGTTGGGCGTGTGGCATTAATGAAAGGTTTTGCCATTGTCATTGGGAGGAAGCTTCCTGGCACATGGGTGACAGGGCCTCACAGACAGTGCTGCTTGGGTTAGCAGGTGAGGCATTTAGCAGCATTTTCTTACATGTGTCCAGAGTCTCATAGTAGACATGTGGACTTGAGGATGGGGAGGCAATATTTGTATCCCAACTAACACCAATTATGGTAAATGCTCATTATTCAGATTTGAGTCCTTTAATAAAAATCCCCTCAACTAGTTTTTTAAAGTCAGGCTCTCATGGTAGAGCCAAGCAAGAGAGAAAATAATGGAATAATTGGAGGCTGCTGTCTTTTCACTTCCCACATAAAATTATTTGAAGAGACAGGCCAGAACTTTAAACAGGAGATACCAAGAAAAGTTGTAATTTGGATGTCGGCTGTCATGACTTTAGGGTGTTTGCTTAAAAGACGTTTTCCCCACTGTTTCTCTTTCTGCAGACATACTTCAATGACAATATCCTTACCCTGATACGGACCCTGGTGACCGGAGGAGCCACGCCGGAGCTAGAGGCTCTGATTGCTGAGGAGAATGCCCTTCGAGGTGGCTACAGCACCCCGCAGACACTGGCCAATAGGGACCGCTGCCGTGTGGCCCAGTTAGCTCTGCTTGATGGGCCATTTGCGGATTTAGGGGTGAGTCCACAGCACCAAGGTCACCTGAGCTTGTTTGGGAAAAGCTTGATCACAAAGAAAATGGTGTCAGATGTGACAAGCTAGGAATCTGTCTTTTCTCCTTCCTGTTTTAGATAACTGTAAGAGGTGATATTTATGGTTTACTCTTTGCTCTATGTGTAGTCATTCATTTTAATCTTCATGGCAACTCTTTGATATGAAGTTCTAGTATCACAACTTCTAAGTCAACTGAGACCCAGAGAGAATGAGGACTGGACCTATCGGGAAATTGCAGGAAGGCATCTTGGCCTCAGAGCCTGTGGGCTTTCTCACTCCTTGGCGTTTTCTTCACATATCCTCTGCACAAGGTGATGCCAGCATGCAGCCAAGGTTGGGAACTATTTCCACAGGCTCTTAGCATAGCTTAGGGCTACTCAACTGTACATTAATAACACATGGAAGTGGTCAGCCTCAGCCTGCAGGTTTCTTAGTTTTTATATGTGAGTATGACCCAGGCACTGGTGGTTTTCAAAGCACCAGGGTAGTCAGTAATCAGGCGTATCCAGAACCACCAGTCAAATAGAATCTCATGTGGATACTTTAATGCCTGTAATTCAAAACCTAGACCTTATAATTTCTGAGACTGGAAATTATAAGTCATGTTCCCTCAGGCCCTCCTGTGACAGAAGTGACCAGCATCTCCCTTCTGATTCCATGCACCTGCCTGGTGTAGGCACTGTGACAGAAGTGTGCAGTCTTTGCCCTTACTCCCAGCCCAACCCCACAGCCATAAGTCACAGAAACCAATAAATCTGTTGTTGCACAAACAATAGTGTTGCCCAGAAAGACTAAATAGTGGAAAAGGAGCCAAGGAAAGGGTCTGTCTCTTTTTTTTCTGAAACACTGATGCATACTTGCTCCATTTTTTAGTTCGATCACGGGCTGCAACCTACGTTAGACTAGGCTTTTTTTGAAAGGGAATTTTCATAGCTCGTGGTTCTTTATACCTATCATTTGCTTATTGATCCACTTGATTAGGATAAAGACTTTAGATAATGGTAAGATTTAGCCCCATCTGTGTTCTCTAATCTGAGGCCCATGTGAGAATTTCAACAATTGGAAGGACAAACACAGTCATTCTATTCCCAGTGAAGCCATCCTGCAGTGCCCAGTGCCCTTCATATAATACAGGTAACATCTACCTGAAGCCACCTGGCGGCTGAAGCCAGCATTTCCAAGTTGATGCATTTGCTTTCACTTTATGCATCAGGCCCCAGTCCCTGGGAAGGTGGCTGTGAACTGATTAGAACTGCGAATCCCAGTAATTCAGCCTGCAGACCCCTGGCTCCTAGGGAAACACGTTCTCTTCCACCTTTGCCATCTCTGAGGTCTGTAAATTATGCTTTTCACACGGTCCTTACCTGAAAGAGTCTGTCACCATAGGACCTGGTGGGGTCCTCCTCCTTGCAGTGGTTTTCATTATCACTCAGGCGGTTTTGACAACACGATCCTATCACAGCAGTTACAGCTAAGCAGGGGCTGAACATAATCACCATTTTGCAGAAAGGGGTTCATCTCCTCAGCTGAGCATACATCTGAGACCGTCATGCTTTACACCTTCACTTAAAATGAGGGAGAAGCGTAATGTCCTTAGAGTTTTCAAACCCCATTGCTACGGGTAGAAAACTGGAGAGACACCAGAGGGAAACCCCGTCGTTACCCGATTCCTAAAAATCACCCACATTGGATGTAGGCTGTTAACCATGTTGACTTCTTTCACTGTCATCCCTTGGCACGTGGACCCTCCAGCTCAGGAGACACCAAGAAAAGCTTTGATGAAGAGACCCTTTTCCCTGCTGGCCCTTGATTTTCAGGCAAATGAAAAGGATGTTTCTCTCTGTTCTTTTGCTGTCTCCCAGGATGGTGGTTGTTATGGTGATCTGTTCTGCAAAGCTCTGAAAACATATAATATGCTTTGTTTTGGAATTTACCGGCTGAGAGATGCCCACCTCAGCACCCCCAGTCAGTGCACAAAGAGGTGAGTATTTGTTCCAACTCTGCCCTCCCAACTAACCACAGAAACAATAATGTCCTCTCCTGTCCCCTTCTGTAAAGGCAAAGGTCTGTATAAATCCCTTCAACACAAATTACCCTGCCCATATTAAATCCAACACTGACTTTGGAGGTGATGGTAAACATTTTTTCTATAACTACTAGTAGTAGATGTAAAGACATTTTGGTAAGGATTCAAGATTTGTGTTAATAGAATAATTCCATCACCCAATTACAAAAGTCTGAATAGAAGCATCTCTCCCAAACTCCACTACTGGGATAATTTCTGTTGGTACCTAATATAGAGATATTTCACATTGCTAGTGTTTAAGATAAGTTTTTGTGTTTTTTTTTTTTCTTTTTAGATGGAGTCTTGCCCTGTTGCCCAGGCGGCTGGAGTGTGGTGGCACAATCTTGCCTCACTGCAACCTCTGCCTCCTGGGTTCAAGTGATTCTCGTGCCTTGGCCTCCCTAGTAGTGGGAATTACTAGGTGTGTGCCACCACGCCCAGCTAATTTTTGTATTTTTAGCAGAGACAAGATTTCACCACTTTGGCCAGGCTGGTCTCGAACTCATGACCTCAAGTGATCCACCCACTTCGGCCTCCCAAAGTGCTGGGATTACAGGCATGAGCCACCACACCTAGCCCAAAAATAAGTGGTTTTTCTGCCACATCTTAGAGTCCTATATTTTTACTTCATATATTTTAAATCAACTCATTTTTTAACTTTTATATATTTTTGAGACAATTGTATATTATCACCTGAAGCTGAAAAATAACAGTTTAAATGTGCTAATTATATTTTTCTCATATGCATTAAAATAAATTCATAGCAGGCAAAAATTAAAAGTACATCCTAGAATTACCAAGATCAGTGAGTTTGCATAATATACCCTAGGCAATAATGCTGCAGAGACAAGTGTTTCTCATCCCTGCTTGCATAGTAGAATCACCTGGGAGCTTTTAAAAAAATATTCTGATTAATTTAATTGGTCTGGAAGGAAGAAAAAATAATATATGTATATTTTAAAATATGTAAAAATTTTATATATAATACCCAGGGATTATAGTGTATAGCCAGAAGTGAGAACAATTGCTATAGACCAGTGGGTTCTCAAAATTTAGCCAGCATGAGAATCACCTGCAGAGCTTGTTCGACTGCAGGTTGGTGGACCCTATCCTCAGCACTGCTGATTCAGTAGGTCTGGGTGGGGTTGCTTAAGAAGTTGCATTTCCTAGTTCCTAGGTAGGTGATGCAGAGAGCCACACTCGGTGATCCACTGCTATAAATGAAACTGGATGATTATCTTAGTCACATCTGCTGTTGACAAGAGAAAGCGCCAACTAATTGTGAAGAACAATGAAGTAGTGCTGACAGGTAGGCAGGGAAGAGTTTTAGATTCTCCCATGTGTTGAATTCCAAATTCCAAATTCTCCCACCAAAGTGGATTTTTAAAGGCAAGGTTAGTCTAAGGGGACACTCTGTCATGGTAAACAAAGATCCTGTAGTGTATATCTGGGATTGTCAGAAAATTCTGGAATAAAAATTGTATCACAGTCCATGAAAACTCCAGTGGATGGGCTACTTGGAAGTGATTTTGACCTTGTATGGAAAGGTACATGTAGACCAGGAGAAGCGAAGTTTGGTTCTTCCATCACTGGCTCTAATTCTGCATCTCTGCCTGGGCTCCTGGCTGGCCCCCTTTGTTGCGTTAAACAGAGGAAGTTTCTATTTAACGAGGAAAAGAACGTTTAAGGCCTTGGACCAGCTAAAAGTTCTTCTTTCAGATCCTCTGAAAGACCTGAGCAAACAGGCCATGGCTTTTGGTTCAGGGAGTGTTGAATTCTTCACTTAGTTACTCTCGGGCGTTGACATCTCTGCTTTCCCTGTCTAGGTATGTCATCACCAACCCCCCCTACGAGTTTGAGCTCGTGCCGACGGACCTGATCTTCTGCTTAATGCAGTTTGACCACAACGCCGGCCAGTCCCGGGCCAGCCTGTCCCATTCCTCCCACTCCTCGCAGTCCTCCAGCAAGAAGAGCTCCTCTGTTCACTCCATCCCGTCCACAGCAAACCGACAGAACCGGCCCAAGTCCAGGGAGTCCCGGGACAAACAGAAGTACGTGCAGGAAGAGCGGCTTTGATATGTGTATCCACCGCCACTGTGTGAAACTGTATCTGCCACTCATTTCCCCAGTTGGCGTTTTCAACAAAGTAACTTTCCCTGTTTTCCCCTGTAGTCCCCCCCTTTTTTTTTACACATATTTGCATATGTATGATAGTGTGCATGTGGTTGTCATTTTTATTTCACCACCATAAAACCCTTGAGCACAACAGCAAATAAGCAGAAGGACCAAAAGTTATTTATGATTCTAGGGGAAAAATAACCCAAAGGCATGCTCCAGACATAAATAGCTCGCTGCAGGAATGAGTTCACAGATTAGAAGGGAGCATTTGTGATCAATGTCAGTTAGGCAAAGCAAGTTTATTTAATGTAAAAGAAAAGTTGATTCTGATTCATCAGGATTATCAGGGTGCTTTGGGTTTTGATTTTGTTGTTGTTGTTGTTTTCCTTTCTTTTTTTTATATACACAGTAAGTTGGCACATGTTTATTTGAAACAAGCAACCAAACGGCAGTGAAAACATATTGATTGTTTCTACTCTCTGGGCCGAAGTATTGCGAAGCATTTGAAAGGCTTTCACGATTTGTGTCGATGATTATGAAGGACCTGCTTGTTGCAAGCGAACATCAGAGATTTTTTTTTTTTTTTTTTTTTTTTTTTTTAGTTACTCACCAAGGCCTTTTGTCCCAGAGCCAGTTTCCTCTGGGAGTTCATATGAACATTTCTCACCTTAATATAGAGGAAAGAATAGTATTCCATTCATGGATGTATCAAATTCTAGTCATTTTGTTTAAGTGAAAAGAGGTTTGATTGCATATTAAATTGTTATTCTGTCTCCTTATGTTGCCATATGAATAGCTATTTTTTTCTTTCACTTTTGACATTTGGGATGAAAAGCCATATGTATCATAAATATCAGATGTAAGTCATTAAAAACTGCCTTCCTGGGACTTTTACATCTTTTAAAAGGTGAATTACTTACCTTATGTACAGAATAAATAATGCTCAGGAAAGAGCAAGTATTTTTCCATGCATTCTCAGGGGATCTTTTTACTCCCCTTTGTTTGATTAGTTATGGCCCCAATGCCAGGTAGGAGGAAGGGCTGGGGCAATGGTAGAGTCAGAGGAAGACAAACCCATCTGCAGATCATGTTTTTCTAGGAGCTGACTTGCTAAATAAATTAGAATGTAGGAGCATCAGCCACAGTTGACTCAACAAAGACAAAAGCCAGGCACCACCTTCAACTGCTGGTGCAGCCGCGCAGTGCTGGCTGTCCCAATGCAGAAAGCTGGTGGGAAAGAATTCCTCATCATCGCTTTCTTTAACCTAGCCAATTTAGGCAGGGTAAGGACGACAGTCGAGAGCTGCTCCTTGTCATTATGAGACGTGGGATAAGAGTGCAACAGTGAGCCAAACACATTTTGGTATAGTTATTTTTTTCTTTTGTTTTCTTTCTTTCTTTCTGAACAGTTAGTAAGCATGAGAGGAGAGGTAGAAAAATGCCCCTTTTTTCAACATATAGTTGCCAGATGCTTTGTGCATGCAAATCATGCTTTAGGCAGTGCTATAGTTCTTAAAAATTGGCCAATTCACCATAACCGATTTCTCTTATGGATGGAATAGCACTGGGCTGGTATATACATATTTGAAATGTTTTAAGAATTCCATCACATAGAATGGGTGTAAAAGGGAGGAAGAAAACATGTCACAGCTGTACCATCTCTAAAAAGGTGTTTTTATGGTGAATGTTTTGGATTTAGATTTTGGATCCCCCGTCCCCTCAAGCATGATAGTTTTGGAGATTTGCTTGCTGTGTGAATTGACAAGCACTTTTACTGACAAAATGGTGAGGCTCAGTCAGAACCTCCACCCTCCCCCACACCAAAGACAGGGGCAGTGTAGTTTTCAAACCAGTATTGCGGTGGGGAATAATTGTATAAATGTAAATTAACAAGCCCTATGAGTGGAAGAATTTTTTCAAATTATTTTTGTCTCTCTATATATTGATTTATATTATGCATAACTATCTCTTTATATATAACTATATATATATAACTATATATATATAACTATATATATGTTTCCCCTAGTATTGGATCATGAAGAGCTCTTCATGCATTCTTTGCAAAGGAGGTTATAAAGTTACGCCCTCAGAACATTTATAACTATAAGAATGTGCCAGTTAAAGTGCTCAACAGGAAATATGACAGTTTAAAAGCATTGTAAAACTCACATAGCTTACTTCTCTCTCTAAAGTGCGACAAGGATGAATAGAATGGGCCAAGGTATGACAATTAATGGTTCTGCATGACCTAGCCACTGCTGGGGGTTTTCTTCTATAACGTTGTCCTTGTGAAAACTTTTGTGAAATTAAAAAAAAAAAGGAGTTACAAATTTTATTCTGTTATTGGTTTGTTTATTTTTATTTATATTGTTCTGTTTGTGATTTTATTTATTTTGTTTTGCTTTCCCCCCTCCCCTTTTCCTCCCTTTTCCCTTCCTTCTTCTCTTCCTTCCTTCTTCCACTTTCTAAATTGCTCAGCGCAATGAGGCTGTGCTGCTGCTATTGCTAGATTCCTTAGAGTTTGTTTTGGTGTTCTTGGGTGTGGGGTTGGGTAATTTGGGGGGAACTTCTCTCCATCTGGCTTGCCTTTTAATCTGCACGTGGCCTCGCTGCCCACCCTGGTACCTTGCTCCAAGTCCAAAAGCATTTTCCCTTCAAGAAACCCAGCTTCCTTCACTTCCCCCATTGCCACCCCAACCCCAGTTCCCCCATCGGTCTGTTCACAGCTCTGTGTTCATCTTGGCAAGATCTACTCAATCAAGTGATGATGCCAGTTGTTAAACTTTTCTGGAAAACATTTGCAGCAATTCCATTTGGCAAACCTGCTTCTCTGTCAATATTTTGTCCTCCTTTTATTTAAACCAGGAGGGTTCTTAATGGCAAAAGCATTGGTATTCTTTATGCTTGATCAGTATGACCCAAATTAAAACTGTTTGTTCTGTTGTGTATATCAACTCAGTAGTCCACACCCACTTATCTGGGAGCTGATGGTTTAGTCACTGTACTACCCAAATCTCTCCTGCCACCTGCCTTTCAGACATTTGTTAAATCCCAAGAAGAGATTGGGCAGATAGAGAGAAGTAAATCAGAAGTGCGCTTTACATAGAATCTGTTTGCAACTCCAATGAGGATACTGTGATGGGAATGGAATGGGAACAGACTATGACATGAGATGGAATTTTGAGGTTTTCCTGGACTTTGGGCACACAGTCATGCCCCACTGGTAGATAACTGAGAATTGACCGTACTTGAGTAATGATAAATTTGATGATGGAGAAGGATCATCATTACTTTGATTTTATTTGCCAAAACAGCTGTATTATACTTTCCTTAATAGAGTGAAGAATCTCCTCCATTGTTTTCTATTTGACTCCAAACTTCCCCTTCCTCTTTCAGTAGAACATCTGCTTGCTTAGAAAGGAGTCATAGAAGTTTCTCATTATTATTTCTCTTCCCCTTCACTGCCCTCTGCCAAAAAAAAAAAAAAAAAAAAAAAAAAGGAAAAAGGAGGCAAGGGTGGAAAGTGAAAGAGTTCTTTGAAAAGAAAGTATATATATTTTAAAAGGTAGGAACTCCATTATCTGCACCATTCTAGAAGAGAAGCCATTTGTAAGCCATTTAGTCTAGCTTGCTTTGGGCTTTGAAAGGGATGAACAGTAAGTTGCCTGGTAAACCAGAAGGCACAGTGAAGCCTTCTCAGTCTCAACACTAGGGTGATCATGGAATCATGAATTTCCCTAAAGACTGCTACCCAGGGTTCTTCCCAAAGCCAGTTCAAATGGATATAGAAAGCTAGACTTTTATACATACAGTTAAACTTTTGCCACAATTGGGAGAGGTTTCAAATTCTGTTCAGAATATTAAAGGTTATGACCCAGAACCTTACCATGGGTGCTCAATAAGTATTTGATACGAATTGACTTTACATATTTTTATGCCTTTAATCATTTTCTATATTACTCTTGTTCCCTTGGTTTATTTATTTATTTTTTTTTGAAAAGATGAGTGCCTTTACTTGCCTCATGTTGCTGCTGTGCTGGTGGCACTTTCTCATGCTGGTCACACAGCTTCCAAGAAAGGGGAATAGCCCTGTAAGCTCAATGAGTAGAGGGACTGATTGTGCCTCTTGGCAGCATCGTCCAGATCCCAGATGACCAGGAAAACCTTTTGCCTGGCTCTTCTGCAGCATGGCAAAAGCCTAAAGGTGTCTGCATCCCGATAGAGACAATTAAATCAACCTGCCAGGTTCCTATAGCAACAGGCTCCTTGAAGGAGAAAGAGGAGAGTACAGAAACTCCAGGGCCTGTAGAAGTCAAGACAGTGTAAAAATCAATTTCTCAATCAGCTTCTTTCAGCCCATGCCTGCTTTGTCACAATATGATAAAGAAATAGCTGTGGGCACCTGTCACTACACTGGCTGGCTGACTCCCATGCAAGATTGCATGCCCATTGCAACCACTGGAGGTGAGAGGGATTATCCCCTGCCACCAGGATTAGTGAAGAGTCTGTCCTCAGGGTGTTGGCTGGACCAAGGGCCACATAGGAGAGCTGGGAGAGCAGTTCGTTCTGCTCAAAGAATGGCAGCATCAGACTTTTGGTTAAAAAACAGAGTCACGGTAGGCAATTGGGAAGAAGTAAGAATATTTGTCTTAAACAGAAACTGCGTTTGTTCTGGCACAAATAATTTTTTTCTCTAAGAAATAGGCATACTCTGCTAACAGGAGAGGAGGTGGTATGTGTGGGTGGTGGGTGGGAATGGTGGGGGCATCAGGGTTTGCCCAGCAGAGGAAGTATGCCAGGTTGCCTATCGGAAATGCGGGACAAGAAACCACACAGCTATTACCCTTGAATGTCGGAGCCCCCTGTTAGTCCTTACTGTTCTCCATGGTGTCTCTCTTGAAACAGAATCTTTTCTTTTGAGCCTTTTCTCTCTCAACCTCAGCTTGTGGTGTAGTGAGAAGAGGGCCAATTATCCAAACGCTTTTGCTGTATCATTGCCTCCCCTTTCCTGCGATCTTCTCTAGGGAGTAGTTCTGTGAAAAGGCTAATTCCCACAGCACTGACAACCCACAGAGCCAACAGAGAAGCTTAAGTCTCACAGTGCAGCTTGTTTCTTCTTCTGCTGGTGGCGGCTCAGTCAGCCCAGCTCTGGGGGCCTTCCCTGCAAGAGCCCACTCCTCCAGGATGACCTGTAGCCCTGTGGCTGCAGGAGGTTTTGATCCTTATTTTAAACCCTGTGATCTCAGTGATGAAACTAGAAATGCAAGAAACAGATGGTTCTCAGATGGGATAAGATAGCTGGTGAGTGAAAGCCAGTATTTCAGAGACACAGAGGCAGCCTGGGAAGGGAGGAACCTTCAGCTCCCCAGACATAACACTGGGTCTTCTCCTTTACCTTCCAAATGAATATGACCAACCAAATCCCTCTCTGTAACCTCTGTTGGCACAATTCGTGCTCTTCAGGATACACCCTGATATCCACATCCCTGTTTTCTATCCTCAGCATCTCTGCTGAAGGGCATCATTTATCATCACTTTCAAGAGGCACCACCCATGCTTACATCATCCTTTAGTACTGATAGTACTCAGGCTAGTACTAGACTTATTCTAAAAGCTAACACTTCAGCAACTGCCTTAGGCCAGGCACTCTCCTAAGCACTTTTTAGTTACCTATACAAATTCAATTCTCACAAGAGTTTCAGATGGAGATGCTGTGTGTCCATTTCAAAGATTCAGAATCTGAGAGACAGTAGTCTGTGAAGTTAGCCACTATGGCATAATGCCCACTGATATTATTAATAATACTAATAACCTTATTTACTCACATTTACTTGCCATGTATCTGGAACTGTGTGTTTCAAGGACACTAGCTCCATCTATCTAAAGAACACTATTAGGAAGTTTGTATCATCAGCCGTATTTTATAGAAGAGGAATGAAGCTAAGACAAATTCGGTAATAACTTGTTCAGAGCCACACAACTGGTATGTGAGCCAGGTTTGCTTGACTTTAACCTCCTGCCCTGCACTGTCTCCTTAGCCCACATCCCCTTGCCTCTTCCCGCTGGACAGCTCATAGGATGGCTGGTCTTGATAGGTAACATCTCCCAGTGGCAGTGGCAATTCTACTAGAATCTCTCTGCAGCTGTTTTCCAGATTTTTATCTTGTCCCACTAGCCCCCTCCCAGCCACAGACTGAAATGCCTCTTCTTTCCTAACTTCACGAACTCCGACTGCTGACAACAGGCATTTCATTCTTAAGAAGCTTATTAACAAATGAGGCTATTTTTCTCTGGCAGTGAGGAAGCACTCCCAGCCCGATCAATTGCCCTTCTCATCTTAGAGATGAAAATAAAGCCCCTGGAAATCTTTCTGGCGTGGGAGATGAAACAGGGAGTGGAGATAAACTCAGGGATTTGGATTTATCCTTGACCATGCAGCATTCATTAGAACTGCTTCCCTGAGTCCTCTTCCTCGTGGTCAATTTTGTAGCAACCTATTCGTATTGTTTCTTCCTCAAAAGGCAAGATTCAATACATCAGATTGTCATTGTCCTACTTGAAGCACTCTCCTTGGATGCCGAATGGCTGGTGATCATGGAAATGTGTGTTCCTCGGAATTATGTTGGGAGAATCTCTTTGTAAATACCTTTGCCACCAGACATTTTAGTAAAACACCCAGAGCATTCGTATATTTCCATTTCCTGAACATCCTATGTAACCGAGTCTCCAAGACCACACACATTTAAATCGTAGGAAGCACCCAAATTAAACAGCTGTTTCTCAGGCATAAGGAAGACCTCAACTCCTCACCACAGTGTGTTTTAACACAGCTCGCTCCTTGTGTTGAGGCAGCGTGGCCAAAACATGGGCTACTCTGCTTAGCTCTTTTTTTTAATGGCAAGAAATTTAAAAGGAAAAAGAGAAGCTTAAATGGGGAAATAATGCTCTCTTTCTTACAGACAGCAGAAGGAAATTGATATTCTCTCTGCCGTGAAAGGTCAAAATGCCAACTTTGAATTGAACTGTAAAGACTAAATTCTGAACAATTATTCTCTGCAGCAGTTGTAAAAATTTCAGTAAATTGCAGCTGTCTTAGGTCTTTCACCCAAAAGACCTACTCATTTCCATCAGCTGAGTTCACTCTTTCCAACCTGGCATGTCCGACCTAGCACTAAATCCCTTTGCAAAATTGATCTGCATAACAGCATGGCCAAAACCAAGGGCAGCTCAGGCAACCGGAGTACAAACACCAGGCTCAACCTCTCTGAAAATCATCCTTGCACATAAACCGCTGGAAAAAGTAGTAGTTTGAAATTGTTTCAGCGGCCTGGCAATGCTTTTAAAACATGATAACCATCACACTTTACTCTTCTCTGAAAGGTTAGTTTAATCGTAGATCACAAAAAATTGGTTTCCACAAATGCATAATGGTTCATCTATGTCACACTTGAACTAAATGGTTTTTTAAATGGAGCTGAAATTATTTTGATGTGTACACAGACCCAGATTTCTATACAACCTTTTTTAACCAGCCCATCAGGAACCTTGCCTCTAAAGCCTCATTAATAATTCAGATGTGCTGATGACTTTAAAAGATCTATGGAATTGAAGCTTAGGGAAAAAAAAAAAAACTCTGCTTGACAAAAAGATAAATGAATGTAGAAAGAAGCTGTAGGAGTCTGGCAAGCTGTAGATCATCTGAGAACAGATTGTAACTTTATCATTCTGTCAGGGGGAATAATTTAAAGCACTTAATCAGTTAGCTTCACTGTGAGGATGTAGCATTATGAATTCCTATCGTCCAATCTGTTCAAATCAAAGTGAACTTAATTATAATAGGTGAGCGAGCCAGAGCAGGAGGGGGGTGGGGAGAACGAGGCAAGAGGTAGCAAGTTTCCTGTGGGGTAAACTGAGCTGCTGTATAAATGGGGGGGCGAGGCTTTGACTCAGTCACATCCCAGTTCCAGCAACAGCCCTCCTTGACACTGACAGCTCAGGGCACTTGAAAGGGCAGAAGTAGGAACTGAGGAGAAATAAGCAGAGTGGTCATTGGCTGATCATAGATGCTTAATTTATAAATCATTAGCCAAACGTGCACATAACCCCCCATATCCCCTATCAAACCAGGTGAGCAGTCTTCACTAATGTGTCCATCCAGGACCACTGATAAGGCAATTACAAATTGTTCTGGTAAGCAGAAAAAGCAGCTAGAGAGGCCATTGTCTCTATAGCAGTGGACGTGCTTGATAGCTTTTACCCTTTTCCTTTTTCTTTTCTTTCCCTAAGCCACTAAAGTGAGGCATATGATTCCTAAGTTAGAATGTCCTATTTGCCCAGTCCTTTCCTATCTATACACATGGCCAATTTCCCAGAAAATTTCAATCCTAGAAAGAGGCGGGGATGAGGGTTGAGTCTTGTAAAATAGCTCTGCACTGCTAAGAAGATGCTAGACCATTCTCATTCTCACCCCAGCCCCCGAACGCCCTGACTCAGCATTCTCTCTCAGCCATTTCTGTATTTAGGGTGGAAATGAAATGCCAAGACTTCACTGAGCTCCCTTGTCGACAGCTTGGGTTATTATAGTCAGTTAAGATATTGCCACTTGGAACTCTATTCATAACTTTATACCAACACAGAGTTTTCTTTCTTAAAATAAAAGCCACCTCAAAATCCTCTTTAAAACACTGGTCACTATTCTGATTTTCATAGATTTTCGGCCAGCAAAATCTATGGGTTTAAGACCCCCTAAAGTGGCTACAAATGAAACAGGAGTGTGGTATACTTGAAACGTGGCTTTAAGTGTGCGTGTTATAAGCAAAGCCAAGAAAAGGCTGGGAGGTGGTGATTCTGCATGAGATTCTAGATCCCCTCTGCAGCAAGGGTGGTGGTGCCCTTCCATGTTCCACTCAAATCAATGGACGAACACATCTCTCCTCAGGCACAATGTCTCTACTGAACAGCTGATACATGCAACACCCCTTCCCCACCAAACCTTTTCTGGCCACGAAATTAACTCCAAGGAACGTTGCCAGAGTCCATTCTCCAATCCCTCTTTAGCTTCTGAGGTCCACCCATGGTGCCTCTGAGTCCCAGTGGCACATTTTGTTCATCACTGGCTACAGGAAGCAGAGGTATGTTTCAGGTTCTGGGGTCCTCCCTACACTGCAGTGTCTCTCTTAGCAATTACTCACTGTCCGTTTCTATCGATTACCTTTTTGCATTTTTCAATGAACTTTCCAAAGGCTTTACCCTAGGACTAATTAAACTTCTCATTTCTCCTTCTTGTTCTCTATCCATTTTGCCCTTTAGCAGAAAAGAAATGGTTTACAGATGAACCGGATAATGCCTATCCCAGAAACATTCAAATCAAGCCCATGAGTACCCACATGGCTAACCAGATCAACCAATATAAATCCACAAGCAGCTTGATTCCACCAATCAGAGAAGTTGAAGATGAATGTTGACTCCCAGGAGACCAGAACTATTTTTTTAAAGCCTGACCAACTTCATAAATGGTGACGTGACTTTTCTTCTTACATGCTGAATCACTGGTGGAAACGTTAGGATAAGCAAGAATTGCCAGAAAAAAAAGTAGACAGATCTTTCTCTTTGTCTGCCTTGAATATTGCTTCCATGTATTTTGGAAAAGAAAATGATTTCATTTATAAATGAACATACTAAAATAGTCATGTATAGCCTCTAGCATTTTAAATTATTTTTATTTATTAGAAAGAAAATATATTTTTCCTTTCTTTTCATTGTCAAATATCTTCCCTATATCTAAATAATGCAAAATCTAAATGAGTAAGTGGCCAGACTCCTTAATGCGTTTTTCTCTTCTTTCTCTCTTTTTCTTTGAGGAGAATGATGGTCACCACCACAATTAATTGTAATTACAGGAAATGAATTATTAAAACAATTTTAAAATGGCCAATGATGTATACATGTATTTTAGTAAATCCAAAAAGGAAGACTAAGGGATCAGGTGAATACCTGCTCCTTGCCTGGATGGGTGTGTATTTTGATCTGCATTTACACCAGCTCTTAATAAATGGAAACTTACTTATTTTCACAGTTGAAAGTCATATTTTTGTGGTTTCAGTTTTCATTCTGTAGTTCTCACCCCTTTGTTCATAGTTTTAAAGGGAAGTCCTTCTTGCTGCTTTTCTACAATTGGCAGGCTTGTCTGGCAAGCTAAGGACACCAGGAGGGTTGTGGGCACACCTGGAATGTGGAAGCTGAGGGCCAGATGCACACAGGCATTGCTCTGTTTCCTGTTCTAGTGGTGGGGACTCTACATGCTGTTATGCTTCTCATTTCGTATTTCCAAGCCACCTGAGCGAGTAATGTCAACTTCAGGAGGGTCTGGTGGACTTTCTCCCCACTCCCCAAGTCTCAGAGCTTTTAGCCTGGAAGTTTATAAAACTGATCCATAGTTTTACTTTACCATAGGATATGAGAGGGCATTCATTCTTCTCACTGAGTTTTTGTTTAAAAGCCAGGACATTTCTATACCCATGGAGACAGATTTTACTTTGCATGCTCTCCTTTATTTAGTTGCTGGGGCCAAACACATGAACTTATTACAACAATTTAAAAAACAATAACAAAAGGAAAGCAATGAATGCACTTCATATAGACTGTTAGAAAAGGCCTTTGAAAATTACCAGCAGTGAAATCAAATATATCAGCCACTTTAAACTGGGGTCAAAAGATTTTTCTAGCCATCCGATGCAATTACTATGTCTCAGAGCTCTGCTGTCACTTGCGTGCTCAGTGTACAGTCTCCTGGCAACTGTTTTGCTCCAATCAACTTAGCAAGTCTTTCAACTTTAAAATTCTCAGTCTTTGATATGATCATCAAGGTCTCTGGAGAAGCATGAATGTGATAGTGATTTCTATTTTCTTCAAAAATGTAAACTGTGGACGCTTAAAGGATCCAAGCTAACTAAAGTATCCCCCCAAAGTTTCGTGATATCTAGTCCATTAACTCTTTGGGCCATGACCTGTGGTACCTAGTTAAGGTAGTGCAAATCAGATCAGAGCAAAGCAATGAGATCACCATGAAGACATACGTCCACTAAGTACTCCAATTACCAACGTAGGCAAAATGAGCTTCCACCTCTGTCCACTCCCTGCAGAGCCAATATAGTCGTGCTTCCACCTCGTAGGCATTGTCCTGCAGTGACTTGTCGGACTGTGGTTACTCTGTCGTCACATTTTGTAGAATTAGTTCTATAAAAGTATTGTGAATATAATGTATGTCCAATTGGATTGTTTAAAAACTACTTATAATTAATCACTAGCCTACTCAGCAGACTAAAATGACGTCAACAGTCTATATTCAGGCTTATAAACATTTCTTGGTTTCCAACAGAAGTCAAATGTGTTTGTGGGGAGAACCTCTTGCTAGGATTTTGACAACTTTCCTGAAAGCTAGGCCTTCTTTTACATAATGATTTTGCATTGGGGTCACCTTAGTATATTCATGTCAATCCACGCTCTTCTTTCCTTCATGAACCATAATGGGCTCTTCACTCCTGTTCCTAATAACATACCTTCGAATTTGTTTGAGCAATTTGGTCTCCTCTGGAAGGCTGTGGTGGCCACATAAGGGATCTTCCATTAGAGGGACACAAGACACAAAGCCCCATTCCCAGTATCCTCTCTTCCCTGTGTCTCCCCTACCAAAGCAATCTGGAAGCAGAAATGTAAACTCCAACCCCATCACACATCCATTGATGCATTTGCGGCTAGAGATTTGAATTTAAACTTTTTTAAAAAAATCATAATAGGTAGGATCGTTTCCTACAGTAAAGGGCTCCTTGATTCATAAGCACCCCCCCAAAAAAATTGGTAGAAATTCATTTTCTTTTAAGTAGAGCAATAAGTTCATACTGTGTTGCCTTTGTAATAACAAATTGTACTGGACTAGAAAGCAAAATGAGGCATTTTGTTAAGGTGGTAGGAAAATGACTGGTTGGTGGGCCCTTTGGCAAAAGCTGATGCCTGGTAAGTAGAAACCGAAATGGAGACATAAATAAAATTTGTGAAATCACTGGAGGGCTCAAGCACATGCCGGAGCTTCTTCCTAACTTGTTCCTACTCGTTGAGCACTTTGGCCCTGAGTCCCCTCCATCTCCACTGCAACAGTCTGTCTTTCAGCCTCCATCTACCTGAGACCAAGGAGGGTCTTCCTTGGCATTGTCCATATTATGAGGCTCTGATTTCCCATCCCAGTTTAGGGCTCCAGAAAAGCCATTTTCCCAAACTAATGATTCTTGGGTGCTGTGGGAATCAAAGACTCACCAACAGCATGTTTAAAAAGCAGAAAATGTCATCACCATCATCACCTTTCTCCTTGAGAAAACTTATATTTTTGTCTAAGCAAATTTGTATTTTAGAATATCATCTTGAACCATTTAAAAAAACACCTTAAATAAAAGTGACCGTGACTAAGGCACATTCCAAAACTCTTTCCTCCCAAGCGTTCTGGCACCTTATTATGTACTTTGTAAAAAAATTAATTGACAGCTTTAAATAGGAAATTAGAAGCATTTGTTAGGGTTGGATAAAGGAAAAGTGAGAAAGCTTAAGAAATTTGGGGTATTTTCATGTTGAAAGGAGAAAAGGTACAAGTTCCCTAGTTACCGTTTAATATGAGAGTTCAAGAGCCACATTTACAAACAACTATGAACTTTGAAAATGTTTTTAAAACCTTCTGAGTCGTGGTGATTTTATTTGTAAATGACTCATTCAGATGACTCTAAAGCCCCTTTCAGGTCCCAGGGGACACGATCTAAGTTAGGAGTGGGAACATGGGAGTGGCTGCCTCTCCTTGGCGAAGGCCTTGGAGACTATTGTGTCCAGGGCTGGAAGAATGGTCCTTTTTGCTGCATCACCCAGGCAAAACTCCTGGCCTTATTCAGGAGTAGTGAACATTTATTTTCTGCTCTGGACATAGAATAGTTAGGTTCATTCCTGTGCTTTTCATGTTAGAGTACCTTTAGGTTCAAGATGCAAATTTCACAATTCAGACACACTTGAATCACATTGGTCAAATTTCACTATCTGTTTCTAGGATTTTCTTCTCAATTTCAACACCACCTTCACTTTTTTTTTTTTTTTTTTTTTTTCCAAGGCCCAGCCTCAGTTAATTCCTTCATCTCTATTCCATGTCTCCAATTCCTAGTGTGTAATTAGGGGGTCAAGAGACCCCAAATTCCTGCCATTTTCCCCATGTGCATCTGGCCTTCAGGAAGTAACCAGTCTTGCTTCCCATGTCATTTCCTATTCTCTGTTTATTTGGTTGTTTTCTTTCGTTAATAAATTAACCATCTCTTAACTACTTACATACATAAATGTAACTTTAATCCATTGAATTTTATTGTTAAGGAGAACCTCACTGAAGGAAGGAAGGGCAAATTTGAAGAATAAAGGTCAGAAGGGTGAGAAACAAAGACTATCCAACCAACTGACTGAGATGTGATCACCTTGACTCCTAGGAAACTAAGTAGATGCATTCAGCTTAACCACTGAGTTCCAGGGCAGAATCTGTCCATTTTTTGTTTTCTTCTTACTTGCTGCTTTTGGAACGGTGGTAAAGCCACCAGTCAACGTGACACTTGAAAGGGCCTTCACTAAGTAGGACTTGATTCATCCTCTTTAAAAAGCAAAAAAAACAGAATTTACTTAAAACCTTCTCGAAAATTACCTTTCTGCTACTCTCCTTATTCCCAAAAGGCTTTTTTTTTTTTTTTTGGTATTCAGTGCGGATGATTTAGCATGTAAATCCCATAATCAATTGAGGAGGTGATGAGGCTATTTGGATTTATTTATGTGATAGTAGTAATTAGGAATGATTCCTAGCAGTTTGTACTAGTTTGATCATATTGGTTGTTTAAGTGGAGTCTCTTCTGATTGGTTGTTGCCCATAAAATATCTATCGTGAATAATTTCAAGATTTTCATTAAAATAAGGCAACTTGGAAAATATTTTAAATTTTATTCCTTAAGGGACCACAGACCCTAATTTTCCATTTTTATGTTAAGGTTCCTTAAAACACAAATAAAAAGAAGCCTATGTGCCCAAAGACAGAGGCACCTGTAGCCCTACAACATTTGGAAGCTCCTTGATATCATGGCCCCACATGGATAGACTGGAGAAAGGATTCTGACTTAGACCACCTGCAGCAGACCTTCCTCTTTTGCCATATTTTTTTTTATCTTAATAAGGACCTGAGACTCCTTATCTGAAGATAAGCCAAACTCATAGTATACATTAAGAATCTGGGAAAAGGCCGGGCGCTGTGGCTCAAGCCTGTAATCCCAGCACTTTGGGAGGCCGAGGCGGGTGGATCACAGGGTCAGGAGATCGAGACCATCCTGGTCAACATGGTGAAACCCCGTCTCTACTAAAAATGCAAAAAGTTAGCTGGGCATGGTGGCGCGTGCCTGTAATCCCAGCTACTCAGGAGGCTGAGGCAGGAGAATTGCCTGAACCCGGGAGGCGGAGGTTGCGGTGAGCCGGGATCGCGCCATTGCACTCCAGTCTGGGAAACAAAAGCAAAACTCCGTCTCAAAAAAAAAAAAAGATATAATAAGCAAAAGAATCTGGGAAAAAAGAAAAAAAGAAAAAAGATATAATAAGCAATATTTTAAAGTACCATGAGTTATGGGCGTGCATATGGTACAAAGAGTAGTTCTTTGTGTTGAAAGAAAGAAGAGGTTGCATTGAGCCTCATGGGCTGCAAGAATGCAGAGGCATTTAATGCTGGATGGGCTTTGGAAGCTTTTCAATAGTAAATGGGTGACAGGTCTGGAAAGACGTGGAATATGAGGGTTTTCCAGGGAGACAGGACTTAATAAGCCATGATGTATTTGTAGAAATGTGATTTCAATAGATTGACTATTTTGTCTACTGTGATAAGTTTGCATAGGGGAACTGTGGAAAACTGAGATGAGACTTCATGGAAGGGGCTACAGAGTACAGTCTAAGGGTCAAGATAAAAGTTTGAAACTTGATTTAGAAAGTCATGGAAAGCCAGTAAAGAATTTTAAGCAGAGAGTGATGGGGCAGCAATGGCTGTGCATTTTTCGGGTTGAAGGTAGTGAGATGTCAGTTCTTCTTGGAAGATATAATGAGAATGCACACCAAACTGAACATTTTCCTAGCAGCATGGAGTGCTAAGGGGCGCACCCTCCAGGTCAACAACTCACCGTGTGCAGCACCTCCCTTCCTCACACATTTTGCTTTGCTTTGTGTCACAAGATCATCAAAAACAACATCCTGATTCTACTGAATTACTAGAATGTCAGCAACAAACTCACAAAGTAGATTAGAGGGTAGGAATAGATGTGTAAGTTTTTAAAACCTGCCAATCACACTATTTTCTAGACAGTAATATAATAAGAACCTGTGGCAGGACATCCACAAATTATAGAGAAGGATTAATAGTTCAGAACTGCCAAATAGGAATTCCCATTATGAAAACATCCTTATAGCTAATCAGGTAACCCTTGCTTAAAAAACAGCACTCACTCAATATTTGTAAAAGGAGCAGGTGGGGGAGAAATGAGCACAATCTAGGTCCTGACATCAGTCAGTTTATAATACAACAACTAAAGAAAGAAAATATGCCCAAAGTGCCACTAGAGAAAGGGTAAACACTAACAACATAGTTTCGCCATTCAATATGGAAGGAGTTGAAACAAGGGAGAAATACTGTAATTTCAGATGATTCAGCAAGGTAGGATTTCTAGAGAAAGGGGGTTTTAGGAGTTGGATAAGTAGAGGGCCAGTATTCTAAGTATGAAGGCAAGATTATCTGGCATGCGGCAGGGTGGGCGACGTTAATCAGTAACTGCTAATGGGTATTTACTGAGTAGCCGCTGTATGCTCATGACTGTCAGACCATTAGAGGAAGATAGCCTGCCTGCCTAAATGGGAACACAAGCCACACATATATTGGAAGGATTATGTTGTACAAAACAGGTGTTCAATAAAGAATTTTTGAATACATGTGAACACTGAATAGCAAATAAATATTATGGATTGTAATAGTTGTAGAAGATTATTTGGGATTGTAGGGGCTGGGTGTGGGGCAATGGCTGTGGTTCTAGAAGATGTTCTTTGTACCGTGAACACACACCTAATCTGTCCTCAAGGACAGAACCATGTGGAAGAATAAGAAAACAAGAGAAGCAGGCAGGAAGAGGAGGCAGTGAGTGGAGCAGCTAAGAAATGTTATATTGGTTCATCCAGATCAGAAAAAGCTGAGAGCTATACATGAGGGAAGGACCCACAGGCCAGAGGAGTGGGACAGGGGACTGAACGAGTGGGTTACAACAGGCCCTGCAGATGTGGAAGCCAGACCCACAGAGGTACTTGGAAAGGGAGGATCCTGGATGAATTCTCTTAAGGAGAAAGTGTAGGTTCAGGTCAGCTGGCAGATGTGTTTGTGGGCTACAATCATGTTTTTTGGGACTAAAAAGGAGCAAAACAAGTAGACCCTCTTGGGACAGAAGATATAGAGTATGCCAGAACCAGGAAAATGAGAAACAAGAGGGGAATTTTAAGAAAGAGAGGGCAAATCATCTGTGAGGTTAGAGATGAAAGACGTTGGAGATGGTGATGCAGAAGTCAAAGGACTCATTTGAAAGGCAGGAACGCTGCTTCTTTGTCCATATTCCCAGAGCTTGCCCTGAGGCCTGGTGCACGTGGACGGTCACTCAGCCACTAAGCGTCACTGTGGCTGCCACAGTGGATGGAAGCTGGCATGGTGATTGGCAGTCTTTCTGGAGGACTCACGAGAGAGGGGTCTTGAGATGGACATCTCCTTTCACCTTCCTGTCCATGTCACTGCATTGCTTTTCTTCCCTTCCTGAACAGCACATGCACTGCAGCTTTGGTTTCACGGGTGTGAAAACAAATGTTACAGCCACCTTGCTTTGGTGGCTTTTCTGAATAGGCAGTGTGAGAAGAGATGTTTTGGCCAGGTGAAAGTGTACTTTATCCCTAGGTAGGTTTTTCAGTTTAGAAAGGTTTCCTTTGCTTATCCCTTGAGGACTTCTGTGTTGCTGCTTCTCCTCTGTCTTGCTATTCAACAGAACAGGGGGGAAAGTGACACCAATGCTCTCCGCCATGCCTGCCTTGGGAAGCACTGCCGGGCCCCACTGTTTAGAATCTTAGCTGGAAATGTACACAAGGCACTGACACACGCCTGCCAGAGCGACCCAGCACTCTCCTCCCATGGGATTCAGGGTCGACATGGGAAGCCAGCTAGCAGGGACGGGAGCCCCACCCACAATGTGGACCGAGCCTCACTTCCATACAAAACCAGAGTCCCGTCCGTCCCAGAGTGGCTCACTCTCTTCCCCTTCCTTCCGCTGAATACAGCCTGACACACTTCTGACCAGAACTGCAACATTTCAAACATAAACCCAGATCTGTTGGGAAATTCTAATTAAAAACGTTCCATTCCCAGGTGGCGCAATCACATCCTGCCTAAAATTTCTGGCCCACATCCCACCACCCAGACGTTGAAAAGAAACCTTCCTCTACGTAACACCAAAACCTGCACTTCAACGTTTCTTTAGGGGACAAAGAAAAAAAAAAGGTACACACATGCAGAGTTCAGCCTACATGTTCATTAAGGAAAAAGAGCGTGGCTTATTCATCTTTCAATCTTTTGATTGTTGGCATTATGATTACGATTATGATTAATTACTCTAACCTGACAGGAACTGAAGGAGAGAATATATGCTGGTGCTTTGAAATGATCTACCCAACTCTGTCATCTGTAACAACCAGTGATCACTCTCTTGTCTTGTAAAAAGGGTTTGTACATAACTTGTACATGGTTTCATTTTGTATTTTTCGCAGATTAAAAATTTATGTATTTGTGTTCTAAAACAAGGAGTGTTTCTTGTGTCTTTTTAGCAGTCACATGCCATGGGGGTGAGAAGTGGGCAGGGGTGGCGAGGCTCTGAGTTCCAATCAGGCTGCTTTGTTTCTTCCCTCCATCCTCCTCCATGAAGGCAAAGTTGTGGATTGATTGAAACTGTGGATTTCCCTTTGCAGCTTTGAGGGCAAATAGACCTCCCCACCTCCACAGTCTTCAAGGAGCTGGCCAGTGGGTGCTGCCCAAGACTGCAATAGGCATGGTGGACGGGAAGAGCTGCTGTCATTAAATGTGGTGCCTGAGAGCCCTATGGGCTGAATATATTTACTGAATAGCTATTATGGGCTGAACAGTCCTCAACTGGGAGCTGGGAAAACAACAGTGAGGAATTCTGTGATTCCAGTTCGCCAGCCAGGGCCAGAGGGACATGTGCTCCTGCGGAAGGCTCCAGCAAGCAGGCCACTAAAGAAATGCGCAGCATTCAACGGGTCCTTGGAAAGCTAGCTAAAGCATTTCTTTGCTCAGCCACCCACTCTCAAGCTAGTTACCATTCCCTGCCATTTTCACAGAGAAATGGTGTTCTTTCCCCTGCATTTAGCTTATCAAAACCCAGGACAATCTGCTAAAGGTTTGACTCACCCTACTTCACACTCAGCCCCAAGAGGGCAACAGATGGAATTTTTAAGAGGAAGGAAAAGAAAAAAAAAAAAAAAAAAGCCCTTAAAAACGAATGCTGCCATGTGCCATGTTAGGCCATACTTTAAACTTTCTTCAGAACCTTCAGAATTTGAACTCTTTTTAGGGGCCTGGACTCACAAGGGCAAAGCTGGTCCAGCCTAGAGAAAGGAAAAGACCTGGAGAATGGGAAAAAGCCATCCAAGGTATATAGATGTAATGTGCAGAATGTCTTGAGATTTAATGTATTTTAGAAATTGTCTCATTTGCTCATTAGCCAAATATTTACCGAATAGCTATTATGTCAACAGTCCTCTGCTGGGAGCTGGGAAAACAACAGTGACGAATTCTATGATTCCAGTTCTCCAGTCTTGGGGAGGGATGGGATCAGCAAATAAACAAGTGATAGTCATGTATTAAAAATTGATCTCTAGAGGAAAGCACAGTATGCCACTGGGAACACATCAGAGGGCACTTAGCTATTCGAAGAGAAGTATACCAATTGACAGACATTTTAAAAAAACAAATTCCCCTTCTACCTAAGCCAATATAAGCCCCACCTGGAACTTATTCCCAGTGGTCAGCAAATGCAGGTTTACCTGTCAGAATGTGCTAGTTCCTGACAGTCCTTTGCGCTCCAGTTTCTCAACTTGCCTTCTCCAATATTTGCTAACAAATCTGAATGTTGTTGGGGAATGTAATTGCAGAGCATATGGTCCC